ATAATTCATGATCTTTAATTACCATATTTAACTATTAAAGGATAATTACAAGATATGGGATTATCCAAATCCCTAAAATTTAGGATCTTATCTTGGGGAAGGAGGCAAATCTCGAAATCTAAGGGTTTGCAAACCCTAGATTTCGAAATCTTGTATTGAAAGGAAAGGATTCAAAAACCCTTTCAAGATTTTCGCAAATTAGGGTTAGGAAACCCTAATCTCGAAATCTATGGCCTCCTAGGGTTTATTGGCTATAAACCCTAATTTGTCAAGTTCACACAATTGAATAAAACTAATTGAAAACATGTTAACCAAAGGCTCTGATACCACTGATGGGTTTTATACAAACAATCCTAAGTGTGCATGCAACCCTAGTTTGGATCTATGTTTTCAATATTAGATACACAAAATTATGAACACAAGAATAAAACCCTAATGTGCATTGCTATTTTCGAAATTAACATACAAAGTTTGGTTTACATACCTCTTGTTGTTATATTGCAATAACAACTTAAATCTTCAAATCCTAAGTCTTGAAAGCAAACACCGCAAGTGTAGTGCCTCTAATGGCTCACAAACACCACAAGCAATTGGAGAGGCTTAAGATAGAGGAGGGAGGAGTTGGAATTCGTCCTTGGGACCTCTTAGGAGCATGTACACGAATTCACAAGGCCTAGGGGTCTTTATATAGGGTTTAGATTAGGGTTTAAGTCCTTATCCTTATCCAGTTACTTGCCCACCAAGCAACCACAAGATAAGCCTTGAAAAACCCTTATCCTCTTATCCTTGGACGATTTTAAGGATATCCTCATCCTTAAATTCGTTCATCCTTTAACAAGGATAAATATTGCCCTATCTTGCAACTATCTTATAATTACAATTCAGCCCCTCTAGTTTAATTAATTACACTTGATCACAAAATTAATTCCTAATTAATTATTGAGCAATATTAATTAAACAAATATGATTTTCCTTTAATATATTATTCTTATAACATATTAATAAATCACAATAGCCTCTCTCTCTCTCTATTTAATTTCTCCAGTCAAGTTGCTTTGGTGAAGGCAACCCAAAAGGACCATGCACAACCGGGTCAAGTACTTACCAAATATGGTTACGGGCTTAGACACTAATCCAATAGTAACTAGCGTGGAACATATCCCTAAAGTGCTACCAAGTAACAGCAGCTCTTTGATCATTAGTATACGATCCTGTCGTCAATCTCCACCAATCCTTGGCCACGAACCTCAACACGTTCAGGGCACGCCTGATCTTCTGGTCAATAGGACACGAGCAAGCAAAGAAGCACCCTTCCATATCAGACACCCACCTCATAGCCTTGATGGGGTCCTGAGTCCAATCAAAATAGGGGGCTTCGTGTTATTGAAGTCCTTGTACTGCAAGCCCTGACGGGCTCCTACTGCTACGCCTGCCACTGTTATAGATGATGTGACTGGAGCGGTAGCCGCCTCCGTAAGGGTTGCGTATCTGTCATTGAAGTACTCCATCATAGTGGTCTTGATAGACCCAAATAACTCCGGAATCTGACCCCGGACAATATCGACCACCTCCTCGTGGATGATCTCCCAGACACGGTCCTCTGTCAATATTGTCTACTCCTAGCCGATAACCTTAGATGCGGCCTGGGCCTCGTGATCGCCATACCCCGATCCCGATCCGGATCCAGTCGCAAAACGCATCATAAATTTCCAACTTCCCAAAATGCCCCAGAAGTCAATTAGTCAAACCTTGGTCAAAGTCAAAGTCAACGGTCAAATTCCATAGTCCATGTTGACCCGACTCGTCTAGTGCAATCACCGACTCATCGAGTCTTTCTAGAACTCGAGTAGTTGTGAAATCCCCCTACTAACTCATCGAGTTTCTCTGCAACTCGCCGAGTTCATGCATGTCCAAAAGTAAAGGAAAACCCTAGTTGACTTACAGAGTCACTTCACTGACTCGCCGAGTCCATGTAGAAGTCCTTGCACGACAATTTTCATCGTACTTGCTGACTTGGCCATGCAACTCGCCGAGTCCCTTCAGCCCATTATCTATTCAGATGCTCCATATGTTACATCCAGCTTCCCAAGGCATGTTTATCACGTAAAGTTGCAAACTTTACGTGCGTGTAAGGTTCTAAAGACTTATATTGTCAAAACCAAGCTTGAAATGGAGTTTTACACCTAAGGAGAAGTTCACACTTGCTAAAGCTGGAAGCTTTATCGACTTAGAGACCAGAGAGAGTTCAGATCTGAAGTTTCAGATCTTAGGTCATACCCAAGAATAGTTTCCCAACACGCTAGAAAAGCCCTAATCTTTAGCCAAATGAGATCTAAAAGGAAATAAGGTCAAGGTAACAACCTGATACCTTTAAAATATGCTAACTAGGGTAGATTTCAGATCCCCACACGTTCCTTGCTTCTAGCCACTTGCTCTCCAAGCTCTTCTCACTAAGATGCACCTTCCAAAGCTTAAATCACACAAGAATAGAGCACACACACGAATTACAGTTTGTTGGACTCTCAAAAGGCTGTAAGGGGATATAGGAGGCTAAGAATTCTTTAAATATGGTGCAAAACCCCGGAAATTAGGGTTTTATCCTCCAGCTCCTGCTCGTCGAGTCCTATTTTGGACTTGGTGAGTATGTCACTTAAACACGTGGCCCTACCCGCTTCTACTCGACGAGTCAGGGTATCCAACTAGACGAGTAGACCTTGAAATTTATAAAAATTAAATCCATAAATTAATACCTACGAATTAGGGTGTTACAAAACAACATTAACATCTTTAGCTCTAGGAACAAGTACCAATGTTTCATTAGTAAGAAGTACATTAAATTCAGTTTTCATGGCATTGGTCTAGTTGGGGTCTTGAAGGGCACACAGGTGGGATCTTGGTAATGGAGATTTGGTTGTGGTGTGAAGGTTAAGTTTGGAAATAGGTTTGAAAATACTCCGTTGAGGACGGGTAACCACAGGATGTGTACTAACAGGAATAGGAGGGGAGTTTGACGGCTTGTTTTGACTGGATGGACTGGAGGTAGGGGATGAGGAGTGAGGCGATAAGGGGAAGGTTGTGGTTGTTTCAGGGGAGTGGGGGTTGTTTGGAGAGCTGCAGTATGGGGAGGGCTATTTTAAGGAGTTGCGGTGGGAGGGGGTGGTATTTGTGATTTTCGGTAGGGTAGTGGGTGTGTTGATGGTGATGGTGATTAGGTGATGACAGTGGGCTGATTGGAGGTTCCATTGGTAGGTTAATGCCAGCGGAAAAAGTGTTAGGTGAGGGGTGGTCATCAAGGAATGAGTAATAAGGTGGGTTTTTGGTGGTCATATATTAGAAAGGGAAGGAGGTTTCATCGAAAGTCACATATCTGGAGATAATTATTTTTCGATAAGGAAGGTCTAGTCATCAGAACCCATGATGTTGTGATGGGTATCCAAGAAATACACATGGCGTGGAGCGAGGTTCAAGTTTGTAGGAAGTGGGTATTACGGAGATGAGAGTAGGATGGATTTTTTTGAAAAAGTTTGGTGAATGAGGTCTCATTGTTAATGGTTGTTGAAGGGGTGATATTTAGAACATGGCATGCCATGTGTAGGGAATCAACCTAATATGTTATTGGTATATGTGGATGAAAGAGAAGGGTAAGGATGACATTATTAATTGATCAAATCATGCGTTCTGACCGACCATTATGTTGAGATGTGTAGGGACATGATAAATGGAATTATATGACGTTCTGGTTAAAGAGGGAGTGAAATTGGTGATTATCAAACTCACCACCATGGTCACACTGAAAATATTGGATTTCTCGTTTGAATTAAGTCTTAACATATGCCCGAAAGTGGAGAAATTTTCTATAGACATCAGATTTCTTACGAAGCAGGTATACCATAAGAAATGAGAAAATTTATCAAGAAAAAGGATGTAATATTTGATGCCACTAGTGCTAACAGTGGGTGAAGTCCATAAATCAGAATGCAAAATTTTAAACAACTTAGTGGCATGATCATTAGATGAAACAAAAGGTAAACGAGAGTGCTTTCCAAGGCGACATGCATTACATAAAAACGAAACATTGTTTTTATTACATGAAATGAAATGACTAGAAATTAAAGATTGAAGAACACGGGGATCGGGATGTCCCAAATGTTGATGCCATAAAGATGCTTAATTAGTGAGTAACACGACTGCTGAAGAAGTGACTGGGTAGAGGTCGTTGGTACTATCGCATCTAAGAAGGATCTGCTTGATCGGGAAATCCTTCATAGAAAACCATATGGATCAAATTCAACGGCAGCAATATTATCAGTAGTAAATTTTGCGCACAAAAATAAGGTTTTTGATAATATCGGGTGTTACAAGGACATTGTTCAAATGTAACGGGCGATTGGTTGAGTGGATAACTTTATGTTAGTTTGGGTAACGTGAGCAGTGGAACCATTTCCAACAAAAACCGAATTGTGTGTACGCTTATTATTAAGTGAAGATAGAATACTTGCATTAGACGTGAGACGAAATGTCACCCCTGTATCTATACACCGATTTTCATATTCCGCTTCAGTGAGTGTTATTGTGTTGTATGCAACAGGGAGATCAGTGGTTGATCAGGTGGCATAGGAGATTGTTGAGTCTAAAATTATGGTTTATACTTTGCTTTTCTAGGCAACTGTATTTTTCTGTAGTGTAATATGTGTTTGCAGCAGTGTTAACGGCCAGGTTGGTGTGTACGGCAGTAAACCCATTCACGGTCGTGAACACATTTTCGGCCCATGTTCCTCAAGTATATATATAGTTGCTAGGTGGGTGAGGAGTGATAGATGAACAGAGAGGAGTGTGTACGGCTAGGAGGGAGAGAGAGAGGGAGAGAGAGAGAGAGAGAGAGAGAGAGAGAGAGAGAAAGAAAGAAATGAGCTTAAGTGTGTATGTGTGTGAATCTCATGTAAAGGAGTTCCATTCATCAATACATTAAAGATTCATATTATTCTTCTTCTCCTCCTTCTCTATTTTGATTTGGCATCATCCTTTTGATTGAGATTCTGCACCATCAAACGGACCTGATTGATACACAAGCAGATTTGGGACTTACGGAGGAAACCATTGCCAAGAAGGAGGAAGTGAGGACTGATCAATAGTAGTACCATGAAATGCTCCCTGGGAAGTAGAGGAAGTTGGTTGGGCTGATGGTTGTCGTCTAAGAATGTCGTTTGCAGGTGGTTGTCGACGATGTTGTTGTGGTTAAGGAGCCAAATGAGGGCGTGGAACAGCCCACGGTGGAGGGGTAGGCCAGCCATATGCTGCCTAATGATATTAGTATGGATTCCATGGAACCAGAGAAGGGTAGCGACCAGTGGCATGTACCTACGACGAGAAAGACGATGTTGATCGGTGGTTGGAGGAGTCACTGTTACGACAATTGGAAGAGGATCTGTTGTGCTGAGACCGCCTGGTGGCAGGCTTTTTGCTGTTGGGGACGAGAACTATAAGAGAGGAGCCATGATCATAAGGAGGTGAGGGTGTCAGGATGTGGTTCATGTTGACATGGAAGTCTTCATAAACAAGAGTTGAGTGTGCTTCAAGGAATGAAAGTGGGGGATCTTTGTAACGGATGAGCATGGAAACACTTTCAAACTTCGGGTTTAAACCGTTGAGCAGTTATGAAACTAGTGTCTTTTTAGGGACTGGTGCATCAATGTTGGCTAGGAGATCGAAAATAGCTTTGATTTTATGGTAGTATTCGGTTATAGAGCGATCGCCTTAGACTAGAGTACGCAACTCATTGTCCAGTTCAATTGCTCTCGAGTGTTTATTGTCTATGAAAAGGGCTTCAATGGCTTCCCATATATAGTTGGCTGTTGATTTTCGTTTGAGGATCATGGTGGGTAATGACTGTGTCATTGTGACATAGAGCCAAGACTTGACAAGATTGTCATGGTTGTCCCAATTAGTGTCTGTTGCATCTTTGGGTTTGTTTGTGCCATCAAGAAAACCATAGGCACAAGAGTGAGTGAGAATGAGCTCCTGCCAAGCATCGTAGCTTAATTCATTTAGATCAAGAATAAGAGGAACATATGACTTGATATTGATGCAAGTGAAGGGCTTATTTTTATCAGCCATATCTAATAGAGAGAAGAAGAACAGGATAGAGAAGAAGGAGAATATTGAAAGAATCGAGAAGTAGAAGGTAGGGTCGGCTGGGGTATGGGTACCAAGGTTAGAAATGCTCTATACCATATTGGAGAGTGATTTCCCTTGAATAATTTTATTAATCAATTGAATACTATATAAATAAAGTAATGGGCTTAAAGGAACATACAAAAAGGCTAATCTAATTAATGGGCTAAATACAAGGTACATAATATATATTAATATCATCAAGATAATTAACTATGCATAATGTTCACAAACATTAATCTTACAAAACACTGCGTAAATTATATGTGATGCATAGACCTTTTATCTACTCCAAATATTCTGCAGATATCATCATCTTGAGTTGCCTACTCCAGCAGTCATCACGTTGCAATGCCGTCATTATCCTCCTCCTTGATTCAGGTCAATAACTACTACAATCAGACCGAAGGAATAAAAGTTAAGGTTTCCATGTAAGAAATCATGCGAAATGAATTTGTTATTCCACAAATCTCAAGATCGTTGATTTCTTCCGAATTGGAATCATGAACAGCAATGTCACTTGATTCAGCAAGATCATCTTTCACTTCAATTATAGGTTGGCCACTCTTCCTAAATCCCAATACTGTCATTGACCCATGTGGTGCACTAATGGTGAATAGTTTTGTGAACAATCTTCGAACACCATGCTCCATTATCCAAACAGAACAGACATCTTTGTCTGTGTGTGTGTCTGTACTATACTGAAGCATAGCAAGAGACTCCCTTACCTTAGAAACCGATATCTCTGTTTCAGAGTGTTGAGCTAAACTATCTGGGAGGTCTACCTCACTAAAATTCTCATCAGTCATATCAAATGACATGATTAGATTATGAGTATGTATAGTCAACATGTGGTAAGCACACCAATAAATAAACTTATCAATAACTACCTGCGACCATGTAACTCGAAATGACTTACTGGGCAGATTGCTAGATACATTTCTCCATTTCCCTGAGCTCAACGTATAAACCTTTGCTTTCCAAAAGTCGCTAGTTTCACTTTCCAAATCAACCCAAGAACGAAGTTGTGTAATCTCTACAATCTTGGGGTCACTAGTGAGAGGACAAACCCCAAAACCAACAGCTATTTCTTCGCCCCCACACACCAAATTAGGCATATCAACAACTACCGATTTCCTAACCGAAGGGTTCCAAAGAACAGTCTTCGGCGATTTAAGGTTGCGATGAGAATTCTCCGGGCCCCATTGATAACCATGCAAGCACAACAATCCGTGAGAGCTACCGACTATTATTGAAAGGTTAAGTGACTTAACGGAAAATGGAAGAGTGGGAACAAACCTCTGTTGGAGGAAAGTATCGTCATCTATAAAAGAAACATATTTATCTTCAGTTTCTACCAAATCTTCGTACTTTACAAGCAGGTGTTGTGGATGAGTGTGGAGGGCACTGTGAGCTGCAATAAACTCAGAGCTATCGATCAAAGATTTCCATGCTTTTGAGACGGATCTATACTGAAGCAATGGTTTGACAGGAAGCCTTTTGATGATGTCCTCCTGTATATGGAAAGGTATTTGGTCTGACATTTTGATGTTTTGGGTGGTGTGGGATATGAATTTTAGGGTTTTTATAATGTTAAAAGGTAGTGTCAGAGAAAGTACTGTTATATGGAAGACTTGGGGAGGAGATTTTTGAACCCGTGGAAATGGGATATTGCGATTTACATTTGATTAGTTGTGTGAATTGTGAATGCCGTTCTAGAAAAAGAAAAAAAAATATTAATTATTATTGCGTGACAAGCTAAAAGAGTAAAAGTTATTTGTGACTTTGGATTATAGTTTAATTTTTTTTATTACAAAAGTGAATACTTTATATAATTTATAAAAAGTTGGTCACAAATATTATATGGTTTTAAAATTATGTTATTAAAAAGGTCTTCTGGATACATCATTGGTATTAGAAAAATACAGATTTTTTTTTCAGTTTTAATTATATTAGGAACAGTATATTATGATCGTTAAATATATAACTCTACTAGTTTATAACTTATGGAAACTACAGTTACAGGGTTAATTAAAATTTTAAAATAAAAATTAAAAATCATTAATCAATTATTTTAAATAAATTATTAATTAAGAGAGTTTTTTAGTTATAAAAATTTTAATCATTGATTTAAGTAAATATGTGAAATTATATCAATTTATAATTTGTATTAATTTTATTTTAATTTTTATTCTAATGTTATTAATTTAATATAGTTATAGTGAGAAATTTAAAATTTAAAATTTAAAATGGAGAATAAATAAGTTTATAAATGTTATGTATTAACTAAGAGATATAATATGATAACGCATGTCAAAAGAAGAATAAATATTTAATTTCTCTAAAATATGTATTAATTAGGAGGTTTAATAAAATGACACATGTCAATAAAAGAATAAAACTATTCCTTTATAAAGATAATTAGAATTAGAATTAGATTAGATTAGATTAGATTAGATTAGATGAGATTCAAGTATTTATTACTCATTTATTCTAAAGGGTACAAAATTTTTATTCTCACTTTGTTCGGTTCTCCTTCTTGTGCTTTACAAAAATTAATTCTCATTTAAATTTTGGTTTGAAACTGATGAAATTATTATAGATATTAAGACGAAAATACCTTATTGCCATGCAGTACAGTTTCAGGGTCTTAGAATATGACCATAAAAGTTTTTTAGTTCAGATTTTAGGCATAAAATATATTTTAAAATTTTAGACTTTTGCCATGGAAGCTTGTTATTTAAGACGTTGGCCACAAATGAAATTATACTTTTGCCACAAAACTTTCCTATGTTGACATACAATGTCCCTAGACTTTCAAATGTTCACACTTTCCACCCCCTTACTATGTCGAATGCCATTTTCCACCCCTACTTTGTAAAATGTCATTTTTAAAACATCAATGCAATATTTTCCACTCTTGTACCTTTCGTAAATTCATATGTTTGGTCCCTACATAGAAAATAAACTAAAAAAATGTTCATTCTAATTTACAAATAGGTCCATTTTCAAAATTATATTTATAGAAATGATTCACATGTTTAAAAAATTCCATAAATTTCCCTTCCTGATAACAAATTTATAAAAGTGTAGGTTGGTCCCTACATAGAAAATAACTTACAAAACGGTCCCTATAAATTACAGAAAGAGATCCATATGCAGATATTTTTAATAAAAAATATCTATGTGTTTAAGACTTTTGTATGTGGGTAGCTTTGGTCCTTGTTCACAAAACAAATTAGAAAAACTGTCCATGTAATTTATAGAAAAGATCCATGTGCATATTTTTTCACATAAACGGTCCATATGTTTAAAAAATTACAAAAATAATCTCTGCCTAATATAAAATTCAAAAATTATGTTGTCGCAAAACGTGGGTAATAGAACCATAGTTATAATATTAATCTTTATTTTATACATTATCATATAATGCATTGACTTAATTTTGATTGACACACAAAAAAAGATACTTAGGATGGTAACTAATTCTTGCTTTTGATCAAATTTAGTTATTCTTTCTATACTATTTACCATTGAACTTATTGATGTTCAAAATATACCATTATGACTACATGAGTTTTGCGACATGTTCTTGGCACATCAAATCGAGTGGTTTTTGGCACGCACACTCCCTCAAACCTTGTCTAGAAATTATTTAAACTCAAAATACACACATGCATCATGGTAAATGTACGATTTGTACACCCATGAACACACACATCAGATTTGCAGGTCCTAAAATCGTTTGGGACTGAAAACCAAGAACACACTTATCATATTTGAACGCTTCATTTTTGTTATTGATAATAGGAGAATAATTAGTCATCGTTTATTAATGATACTGAACCAAATATATAAGGATTACAATATGACCTAAAACTATATATTGCAAATGCTTTTACTTTGAATATTTTTTAGAAATACAATATATAACTAATAGATACTCGTAGTCGAACAGTAGGTGGTTGTATGTTAAGACTATATCGAACATATTTAAACAAAACTCGTGGTAGGCCACTAGTGAACATGTCAACAATCGGAAAACATCATGGGGTATGTAGAACTCTAACTTGACCACGATCCACCTTCTCCATTACAGAGTAAATGTCAACTTCAATGTGTGTAATGTCAACGTTTCTCGCTAAGCATTAATAAGATGATGTAATAGTTATGTACAACAGTTATAACATATTTGACGCCATAAAGAAGAATTGTGTTAACATTATATGTTTAATGATTATTATAATATAATAAAATATAAAAAATCAACCAAATCGTCCATAAATTGTAAAAATAAGTATGTCAAAACACACACACACACACACACACACACACACACACACACACACACACACATATATATATATATATATATATATATATATATATATATATATATATATATATATATATATATATATATATATAGGCTAATGTCATAAAAACCCTCAAGTTTTTAGAGTTCTGTCGGTTTTGCCCAAAGTTGAATTTTATGTCCATTTTTACCCTAACATTTTCCAAAAAAAATATTCGGTTTTACCTTTTCCCGGTGATAACAGGTTAGCATTATATTAACTTCGCAAAAAAACCCTTAAGTTTACAATTTTTTTTATGTTTTTACCCTTAAGTTTATAACTTTTTTTACACTTTTTCCCTATGTATTTTTTTTTTTCATATTATACGTATTCAAGCAGAAGAATCATATGAATATGTATATTATGAAAAAAAATATATACTTAGGGTAAAAGTGTACAAAAAAACTATAAACTTAAAGGTAAAAACTTAAAACGCAAAAAATGGTAAACTTAAGGGGTTTTTTTTTTTTGCGAATTTAATATAATGGTAACCTAGAAAACATGTTATCACCAGTAAAAGGGTAAAACCGAACATTTTTTCAAAAATGTTTGGGTAAAAATGGACATAAATTTCAACTTTGGGTAAACCGAAAAACCCTGAAAACTTGATGGTTTTTATGACATTAACCCTATATATATATATATATATATATATATATATATATATATATATATATATATATATATATATTTATAATATTATTTAAAAAGTACACGCCATCGTGATCCCAAAAATATAAATTTCGTAGAAATCGGACTCCGTATCAATTAGATATGATTTTTTATGAAAAATAAAAGTCAGTCGCGCACAAGGAATGTGTGATGTAAAAGGCTATGAAGATAATTGATGATTTTTAGCTAACGTCACCAAAGAGAAAATCATAGTACTCTTTAAATTAAGATTTTTTAGAAAAAAATGTCTAAACCGAAGTCCATATTAGAGAGTTATGATTTTATCAAAATCATTTAATAGTATAAAAATATGGACAAAAATTAAAGTCAAAATTAGCCGCCGAAGTCTAAACAAAAGTTGTAGATCTTGTCGATAGCTACGCGTAGATATACAGAACGTCAAAAACGGAGTTCTTATGAACAAGTTATAATTTATAATAGCATATTTGTGTATTAAATTTAAGTGTGTATGTATATATATATATATATATATATATATATATATACCGTTAGAAAAATATCAACGATGTGGTCATTATAAGAATAATAATTAGGACTTTCGACATAAATTTAGTGCAAATATCGTTAAATCTACTTAAAATAGTATTAAAAAAGGATGTTTTCTCAACTAAATAACTATAAGGTCGTTTAAGTAACTATAAAGGTTAGTTTCTATAAATTCAATTACTATAAATATCAGGCTCCATGCTCTCAAATTTCTTGCACCTTTCTTTTGATTCAATAGTTTTTCTCTTTTTATCCCCGAGAATTTCGGTTCCTTGTGATTTGACTTCTCTTTATGTAGTTTTTGTATAATAAGGTGAGTACTGAAGCGCTACAAGAATCTTTTGATAAAAAAGCATCAATGACAAAGTTCTGACCACGAAGTTCTAAGTTTTTACTAGAAACCCTATAAATTGAGCTACATCTATTACGCTTTAAGTATAACTTATGTTTAGATTCATTATCGTTATTATGAACCTATAAACAAGATTATTTAGTGATTCGATGTCATTATATTGATTGATCTACTTACGGAAGAGGTGTAGAATGGTTACGTTGGCTTGGTTGTTGGATTTCAGAAAGACTATAGGCCGAAATGATCTTGCATGCCAACTGTCATGCATGGTTGGTCCTTACTTGATAGATCTTGAAGTAGACTTTAAATTAATGATAAATCTAGACTTATAATTAGTCACAATAAATACATCATTTTCACTTTTGTGCGTAGAAGTTGTAGTTCACATAAAAGGTTTTGAAGCCAACGTGTTTTAGAAACTATGTTGGGAACGGTACGGTACAATCCATCGACACTAGACCTAGACAACACTGATTTTATTTTTGAATAGTATGAGATTAAATTATCGCCCAAGTAAACACAATACCCTGAGATTGAACGATAGGTATTAGGATAGCCTTCCTTATCTACATTAATGTAGGATAAAATAGAAACGAATTCCCAATTTTTTAATAATGAGACCATATGACAAAGTGTCATTGGTGTAACTAATTTGCAT